TTTTTAGTTGGAACAAGCTTGGGAGACGTAAGTTTGTGGGATGTTCGTTCGATTGAGAGGTTGTTCGCAAGAAATTTTCAAGTATGGGATATTGGAGCAAGTTCAATGACTTTAAAGGCGAGAATCCTTTACCTCTTTCAATTTTAAATAAGTAGCATGTTTTGATGATAAAGACTTATGGTATTTAAATTGCTCTAATGAAATTCAGGCAACACTAGTTAAAGATCCATCCATCTCTGTAAGACGTATATTGTGGAACTCTAAAGGTTCATTATTCGGTATGCCCGTTGCCTTACTAAGGAAATGGTTGGAAACTTTTGAATTGCTGTTGCAGAAATTATTGTGCTGTTTTTGATTTTGGGGCAGGAGTTGCATATTCCAAAAACATGATTCAGTTATACTCCTACCATGACACTAACGACATACGACCACATTTGGAGGTGTGTATGTCATCCTTACAAGTGCATGTTTTTATTAATAAATTGTTACTTAGTGCTTAACAATTTTTTAACCCCAGATTGAAGCCCATGTTGGAAGTGTAAATGATCTGGCATTTTGCAATCCCACAACAAAACTCTGTTTGCTAACTTGCGGTGATGATAAAACCATCAAGGTTGGTTGTGAAAATTAATTAGGATGCTTGTGAAAGAAGGCATAATTACTCATTTTCATACATGTATAAATTTAGCTTTGGGATGCCACTACTGGCGTAAGAGTTTGCAATTTTGAAGGCCATGATAGTGCTGTATATTCTGTCTGCCCACACTACAAGGAAAACATTCATGTAAGGTTTACTTTTGTGCGGATGATTTCATATCTCTTGCCTACACAAATGGTTTGGTTTTGGTTATTAATATTTTACCCATGATTCCTTAGTTTCTATTTTCCACATCAGTGGATGGAAAAATTAAAGCATGGTTATATGACACGTTGAGCTCAAGGGTTGACTTTGACGCTCCTGGTCGATCCTGCACAACAATGACTTATAGTGCTGATGGGACCAGGTTGATTTTTGACTTGATCATTTACACCATTGAAATCCTTAGCTTTCGGGATTCAACTGCTTAGAGAACATGTTGCATGGTTCATATTTGCAGGCTATTTTCCTGTGGAACCAATAAAGGAGGGGAGTCACATATTGTTGAATGGAATGAAAAAGAAGGCACTATCAAAAGATCTTACCAAGGACTTCATAAACATTCTTTAGTTGCCATTCAATTTGACATGACCAAGAATCAGTTCTTGGCGGCTGGTCATGACCATTCAATAAAATTTTGGGATATGGATAACGTCAATCTTTTGACAAGTACTGATGCTGAAGGAGGATTACCAGTGAGTTCTATTAATGGATTGATTAAACTCTTAGAATGCTTTTTTTTCTCCTGAATTCTGATATTGATATATCTTCTCCACTGTGAAGGCTAGTCCTCGAGTCCGATTCAACAAGGATGGCACCTTATTGGCTGTTACTGCTAATGATAACAAAATAAAAGTGCTAGCAACAGTTAATGGCCAGCGTTTGATGCATCAGATGAAGGTGTGCAAGATTCATATGTTCCTAGTTGCTTTGCATTAACCTTTGCTTGCATACAGCCGTAGTGCTGTACTATTTATAAATTTATTAAATTACTTGGATTAAACTTGCAGAATGGTGAGGTAAGAACCTTTGAAGATGTAAAACCTAAATTGACAAAGGCATTGGTCCCACCGAAGACCTGGAAGTTCACTGAAATCAATGAAGCGTCTCAATTTAGGTCACTAAGACTTGCAACCAGCATCAGGATAGAAAAGGTACATATGCTATCACAGTGCGTAAGAAATTTCATTACTGTAAAATGCGGCAGTAGAAGAAATTACAAGCTCATTCTATCTTGAGCAGCAGCATAATAGTTTCCATAAATTTTAGCATGGTATCATGCCAGGCACTAGTTATTCATTATTGAATTCTGTTCTTACAAGTGCAGATCTTAAGATTGATGTACACTAGCACAGGAAGCGGAATTTTGGCACTAGCATCAAATGCCATCCATTTATTCTGGAAGTGGCCACGCAATGATCTTAATCCGAGTGGCAAGGTTAATTTTTGTTCTTCTCATGTTTCTCTCTAGGTAACCTGCATCATGTATGGTTGTTGAAAAAGATTTTCTTTCGTTGCTTAGGCAACTACCAAGGTTGCTCCTCAGGTTGTCCAGCCAACACCGGGCGCAGTAATGATCAATGACTTAACTGACAGTATAGCAGGAGAAGCTGTGCCATGCTTTGCTTTATCCAAGAATGACTCCTATCTTATGTCAGCATCTGGAGGAAAGGTTTCTTTGTTCAATATGCTGACATTCAAGGTAATTTTATCACTCGGTAATGAAACTTTTCAGCTATGGTGGTTGGCCTCCTAATCAGGAAAGTTAGCTTATGAGAATTTTGTGTCTATAGGTATTGCAAGGTTGAAGCTTGAGTTTTCAGAAATAGATTTTGATAGAACTATTTATCTCAGTTCTTGCCCTTAATAGATACAGATTTGTGCTTCTTAGTTTCCTTGAAAGCCAAGAAATAGTCTGAAATAATTTAAATTTAAATATTTAAATCAGTTAGTATATAGTTATTTATCTCATCACAGAACCATGCCAAAGAAGCTAAATTTTCAATTGATTATCATTCTGTGATCAAGTGTTCTATGATAAATTACAGATAATGACAAGTTGTATGTCCCCACCGCCAGCAGCAACATCTCTTGCTTTCCATCCAATAGACAACAACACTATTGCTGTTGGTACAGATGATAATTCAATCCATATATATAATGTTCGCACAGATGAGGTACAAGATAGCATATGATACATTTCTCTGATGCTCAATGAATCAAGATACACAGAATTCTTATATTTGCACATTACAGATAAGCCATCGGTTAAGCGGTCACTCCAAAAAAGTTACTGGCCTTGCTTTCTCTCATGTTCAGAATCTACTTATTTCTTCTGGGGAAGATGCTCAGGTTGGTTGTCTGTTTTTACTGCAACTCCTTTTGTTTATTTGCCCGTTGCACAGAGAGAGACACTACAGATAATTGCATCACCTGTTCGAAGTCTGACAAAACTTGATACATTAATTGACCTTTCTTTTCTTCATCTTTTTCTTTTTCTCCCTTTATAAGATTATAAGATGGAACTCAAATACTTGGGAGAAGGAGAATAATACCTTCTTGCAGATTCCAGAAAGAAGGACACCCAGGACAAACCCTGCTAAGTCGGACATCTTTCTTCAGTTTCATCAGGATCACGCACATTTCCTTGTTGCACATGAGAGCCAGATAGCCATATATGAGACATCTAAGCTTCAATGCGTAAAGCAAGTATGTTATGTAGCACTTAACTTTTTCAAGATTTTAGATGCATTTCCAAATTTCGTGATAAACTAATGTGGTTGCAATAACTTGTTTTACTTTGCACTGATGACATTACAGTTCATACACATCACTTCTCTAGCTTTTCACATCTAACTTGAAACCGTGGACTGTCTTTGCTACTTCTATGATGCCTGTTGTCTAAATGTACAGAATGCCTTAAAACTGTGGACTCACTTCCCTCAAAAGTATTATGCATGAAGCACTTGGTGTTTGTTCTTGTCCTTCATACGCTAATTCATATCTCGCGTTTTTCGTGTTTTAGTGGACTGTAGGAGAGTTCATGGCCCCAATTTCCCATGCAACGTTCTCGTCCAATTGCCAGCTAATCTATACCAGCTTCATAGATGGAGTAATACTAATATTTAGCACTTCAAATCTCCAGCTGCAATGCCAGATTAATCCCAGTGCTTATCTTGGTTCTTCTACTGCCAGGTACTTCGCGTAACCTGTAATCCCTCTCTGCCCAATATTATGGCTATGATGGCTTGTTTTCCAACATTTACAGTCCGTAAGACCGATCATGTCAATGTCATAAATGAATGGTGATTTAATTGTCAAAGTATTTTAATTATCCTTTTCTTCTATGAAGCAAATCTGTTACTGAAATGTTGTAGACTATGTTGATCTGTGAAATTTAAATAGGGATCCCTTGAGGTTGGAGAGGGTCCTGAATTTACAAATTGGATCAAGCTAATCCATATTCACCCTGTTAGGGATCAAGGCAAAAAAAAAAAAAGTAGACCAAGGGATGCATACAACTAGCCCATTTTTGCAGAGAAGACAAATGTTATTTAATTAGCTCCATGCCCTTTGGTTTAATTTTTTTTCCCCACAAAATTTATGCAAGCATCTATGAATGACAGATGATGTTTAATCACAAAATCAAGGGTTCTTCCTTTGTGTCGTGGTAAGTGGTAACAAACTAACAATTCCCTTATGTACTACACTTGTTTGTTTCTTTTGCAGAGGTTCTGGCCTATATCCTTTTGTGATAGCAGCGAATCCGCAAGATCCAAATCAGTTTGCCCTAGGATTAACGGATGGCGGGGTTCAAGTTATTGAGCCACTTGAATCTGAAGGCAAATGGGGAGTGCCCTCACCGGCTGAGAATGGATCCAGCAATACAATGACTTCTTGCATCTCAATTGGTTGACCTCGTAATGGGGTAGTGGTAGACAGGGAACCAAAAGCAGGGAGACTTCCCTAACTTTAAGTTATACTAGCGATGAGTAATTTCGTATTTATTGTAGTCTCTGCTGTCAGATTGTACATAGTAGAATACTTACAGGTATCTGGTTTTGAAGACACCCCACCCTTGAAAAGATAGCTTTAAGGAATTTATAGCAATGGAATGTACCGATGCTTGACTATATTTGCTTTATCAAAAAGAAACATAAAAAAAAATCAAGATGGCCCAGATTGTTGACCTATATTTGCGCGCTTGCGAGCATCCCACTCCAATTTGATAATGCGGTAGCACCTCTCTCTGATTTCAATTCTACATAGACTGTTAAAACTCCTTCCTACTAAAACGCAATTGGACAGCAAACAGAAAACTAATAGAGCTCCACGTATGAACAAGAAATGCTAGCTCAAGCAATGCAGACACAAAAATCCTGCCTTCGCTGTTCTTCCCAATTGAAGGAGAATAAAAAGGAGAGCAAAATAAAATGTCACCATAAGCACACCACAAACGGCAAAACGGTAGTGCATGATTGCTAATGTTGACAAGAAAGTGAGCAGAATTACATAAAAGCCTCAGGTTCTAAAGAATACGCTAAGATCTCCAATTAGTAGAAATTTCAAACTACTGCATGACAGTATAGAAGTATATATTTCTTTGGGCATCTTTTTGTCATAACAAGATTCTTCAAACAGTGTGTCATTCGCCGTCTAGCTGCTGCTGCTGCTAGCGCCAGGTAAAAAGCTTGCCAATGATGGAACTCCTTGATTTCTCATTTCTTCTTGGGCACGCCTCATCTCTTCTGGATCTGTTGCCACCAAAATATAATGAAACCATCAGCAGCAGTCATGTGAAATTATACATCCTGCTTAAGCTCTATAAATGATCAAATATTTTTCATTGAACAGATTGTTCAAGAAAAAGGACGTATCATCACATCACATAAAGGTCTAGAGCAACAAGAAAGCAAACACAGGACAAGACACTCAAGACTGAGCAAAATAAATATGATGTGGTGCACTCAGAAAAGGTACAAGCAAGTTATATAATGGAAAACACTCCAGCAAGAGCATAATGAAGAGAAAGCCGAATAAGTAAGAGGTTTTTCATCAATAGATGCAGCCTAAATGAAATAGATAACTCTTGAAATTATGGCACTTGAAAGGAAAAGTTAAATTCACTTCCGTTTCACTAGTCTTTGTTCATTTGATGTACGCTTAGAAACTTGTACCTAGAGAAACAATCACTAGCCTCAAGAAATGATGCAGAAGGAAACAAACAATACGGCACCCCTCCAAGGCAGCAAGTACAGCCATACAGATATGCAAGAGTCAGACTCTCAAAGAAATGAAACACGTTTACAATGCAAGTTTATGAACATACCCATATTTTCCATTAATTTGGGCATGACGAACACAACAAGCAGCATAAATCCCATCATCAGACCCATTGGGCTCTTCACAATGGACATAATAGAGAAGGGTTCCCTAATCTGTAATGAAAAAGAAAGTATTAGGCATATATTCTAATAATAATTTGAAGGGGAGAAGATATAATCATGAAAAACAGCTTCAAATATGCAGTCTGAATCAACCTCGTAATATACTTCCTCCCTTAATGGCTCCAAGACAAACTCACTGAGCCCTCTCCTATTCTCTGTCAGAGCTGCATGAATTTTGCCTGGGTTTCTGGCACTAACATCAACTCGTACCTATTTTATTGTGAATAGAATTTAACAACAGTGAACACAGAGAAAAGAAAATATCAATAAATTAACAAGGAAAAATTTAAAGATGAAATTGCAGTAGAGAACGAACCGGAGAAAAGAAATAGCCTATTGCAGCAACTTCAATCAGGTGAGTCCCTGCTGTCACATTGTGGCTTTGAGCAGGCAAGTTAAGAAATTATCTCAGCACTAGCTATGATTTCTCAAAATCGAGGAGGATAAGAAGAAGGAAGGAGACTGATGACTATCCTCTCATCACGCATATTCAAACAGAGGTGTTACTTAAGTTATAATCAAAGGATACAATGAAAAATATCCATCAGGTCTCAGAAATGTAACTCTTTGACCACCATTGAGTATGACCTTGACATTTGAAACTTTTCCAGGAAGACCAAATTCCTTTGTTCCCAGACCTGCCAAATAGGTGTTGCAAAGAAAGAAGATTGAGAGAGGATATTGTTTTAGTGCACGCGCGTGCGCGTGCTTTCTTTTGGGGGGGGGGGGTTCGCCCCAAAGGAGTACAAGACCTCCTATGTGGAGAAGTGACTAATTATGCAGCCGTCAGAGTTGGTTAATAACAGTTTCAATAAACTCAACTTTATCTTATATTTTACGATAAATAGATTTATTTGCAAAATACGTGCAATCTGGAGTACTAAAATTTACCAACATACAAGCAATTCATATGCCAAAAATGCACAATAGGATGATAGATTCGTGACAAGCAATATGCAGTATGGACAATAAGTAATCATCAACACCCCTAAAACCTCTCAACCTGAGACAAAGTCAGCTAGATTTAGCTCAACCTTCGTGACAAGGAACAACGGAAGGTTCTGGAGATCCTTGCCTTATCTCTACAGTTGAATCTATTCAAAAGTTATGTCATCCTTTTCTAGATGAGATGCGGCAGCAAGCAACAAATACTTTTCTTTTGAACACAATGCATCAAATAATGAATAAGAACCCGACCCAAATACCCAAAAAAATAAAATGAACAAGAGCAACTGACAAGTGTAATACCCATGTTCTTGATAAAATTTCAACGAGATCAAATTTAGCTAATCTAAGCCATCATCAATTATTGCTCCGAGAACAATAAAAGTCTAATCAATCTGTACGAAGTGCAAACTGATTCTAATTATTTTTCCCCTTTTTTCACACCATGAGGCTTGAACTAATCACTACCTGCATCCCACCCCACCCAAACAAATTCCCACATAATAACTAGATCACAAATTTTTCATGCTGCAGGCCACAGTATTAGTCCAGTATTCAAGGTTTCAGGGAAACTTCTCATCTTAATAGTAGAATCTAATATGAATTAATATTCAATTTATAGGTCATGACAAACATAATGATATAGATCTAGATGTCCAAGTTCAATACATCCCGTTCAAGGAACCAGTGAAATTATGGTCGATCCTGACATGGAAGAGCAACAGGTCTCCGGAAGATACATCAATCTAATTAAACGGAAGCCGGACATAAACTCACAAGATACATCAATCTAAAATTTGGATTCAATTATAAAAAGTCAGCAAATTTAAGATATAACGTACTTGGAATCTTCACTCGACCGCTAATAGGGTAGCCCTCAGCAGACCTGAATAAGTTGCATTTGGTCAGAGGATTATATCAATGCCAATATTCCTAAACCAACCTTCCTAGGTTTGCATTGTGAGAAAACTAAGGGAAATAGTGGATAAGTACACCAAATATTAGAAAAAGTTCAAAATCAATAACTGATTTATCAGCTACGTCTCGCATGAAGATACAGAACAAGAGAGTAGATAAAAACTAGGATTAAAAAATACCGTACCCAGTAGCTTGAGCGAAGGACGAGGAGAAAATCGAGTAGAATAGCTGCAGGAAAAGAGCAAATAAGAGTCTTTTCGAGTGCATGGCCGCCTCCAGAATCGGACAGGGAATTATGGAGCGTTTTTAAGAGCCGATCGAAACCAAAACTATATACTTCGGGTCTCGTCTACGGAAGAAGTTGATATTTGCAAGATTGGCAGGCTCGAGAGGAGAGAGAGGGCCAAGGGGGCTCATTTCCGATCGGAGCGCAATTTTTTTTATTTAAAAAATAACGAACATTTTATTTTTATTTTACCTGCTTCACATTCCCAAGAATGTTAAGAAAAATATTTTAGATGTTTTTTCAGGGATTGAAAGCTTGAAAGCTTATATTAAAAAAGAAGAAGAAGAAGAAGCTTAATGCTTAGATTCTCATATGTTTTTTTTGAATAAAAAGATCAATATATCAAAACAAGGAAAAAAAAAGGGGCAAGTATTACAGCTCAATTGTTACAATCAAGTACCAAGGGGCGTGGGATAAAATAACATCCTGGGTTACATTAATTGACCATAACCGAAACATGCAACATAGAAGGATCTTGACCTCGGAGCAGGCCATCGCTTGGAATAACGGAGCTTGGATCACTTAGCAAGACCAGAATTTTTTCTTTATGATAGACGAGTTTTTCTTTTGTTTTATTGAGAAATTTTTCCCTGCTAGAAATTAGATTTTTTTTCCCGTAAGATTAAATACACTAATAGTGACGAAATCCACTTGGAAACTTTTGCGGGAGCTGGGAAGTACTTGCTGTAATTTTTCTTTTATTCGCAATTCCCTCTTTCTTAGACAATTTTTCTTGTTCGTTTTCTTAAAATTTTATATTTGTTATACTTCACTACATCTTAATTACAAAAATTAATAAGAAAAACATAAAAACCACATATACATATCTTTACTTTTGATGTTTTGTTCACGTGATTAAGCCACACATGCAATGATAAGTTAATAAAAATATCTAATAATTCTGATATATATATATATATATATATGTATGTAATGACCAAAAAGAAGAATTCTATTCCCACTCACATAGTTGCATTAAGGCCCCTGACTAATCGGCAACCAGTGATGTCAAAAGCAAAAGAATGAACTGGAAAATTGAATTTGACGATTTACGTATGTGAAAATAACAAACAGAAACAGGCTTGCTAACAGCACGACCTAATGATGTCCATAAATGTCACAGCAAATACCAGCTCACTCTAGAATCATATACACAGCCAACGAATACAGTATGAAATATACACACTCTTGTCCTCTTTCTTCCCTTTATTTCTTTTATGAGGATGCCAAACCAGGACCGAGGCATTTGTGGCGCAGCACCCAACCAGGACAGTGGACCGCCCAGTAAAAGAATGTGTTTTTAGAGAGATTAGGATACGGTTCAACACAAAACGCTACAAACCCAACTTCTTTGTGAACCAGTCTGAAACATTAGCTATCACAAAACCTGCAAACACCTGCCAAAACAGTTCTGATTTTAATGTGTGAAAAGGAAAGAGGAAAAAAACCCATATATGAGATCGTAGACAGAAGAAACTATTCTAGACATGAGACCGAATTGCGTAGCACAAGAAAACGTTGTTTTAACACCCAAAACGAACATGAGCTTGTTGAAGATATCTTGAGAGGTTACAAAGTACCTGAGCTGAGCCTAGAATATATATTGCTGAATAGTGCCGACCATGGATGACCATGTCAGCCACCATAGCCAGAGGAATGGTGAGTGACATGCCCAGAGTGGCCACAAGGGGGGTAGTCCATACAACACTAAGTGCCCTGCGTGGATGAACACAATTTTTAACATTAGAATTAGAGCACCCGCGAGCACATGCACTATTAAGATTGATCTCACGTACCATAAATAGTCCGAGAGTACGCTTCCAACAAATCCATTAGCAAGAACCACTTCTTCCAATTTAGCAGAGTGGGGAATCGTAAATTTAGGCTCTATTCCCAAGGCTGTCAGTGGCCATACTGACAGAATATAAATCCAAGAATTAGTGAGCTATTTAGAAAAGCAAAGTATAATCAATAATGAGTACAGGAGCATCGCAAATAAAAGACTTACTAAGCCACCATAGGGCAACAAGTGTAAACAATCCGATGTATCCAAATAGCTTTTGCACATCAACCCTTTCTCCCTCTTCACCAGAGAATTTTTTCAGAAGAACTGTAACATTAACAATAAAAGAAATGATTGTGATTCATCAAAATTCAAAACTATCTGACAGAATAAAGAACTAATTTTGCTAACAGCTGAGACATTGCCTAACCAGTAAAGAGACCATATGTGATGGCTGAGAGAAGGCCGAAAAGATCTCCAATCAGAGAGCGTTTCTCATTGCTGAACACAAATATCAACTGTCAACGCCCAAAAAGAAAAGCATTACAAAGAGCAAGGTAATGATAGATTAAGTGTGAATATCAATTTGTTTGATCTTTAATTAATCAGTTAAATTCATATGAAAATATAGGCAATGTGGTCATGAAAATAGACGGAAGGCTTACTCAGCACTGTATTGTGACTCGTCTGCAGCCCAAGTTTTCCCCAGAGTCGTCATGACAACCCCAGCCATACTGACAAACACAGCAACTACTTTGGAAACATTTAAAGAGTCTTGACCCATGGATGCACCAATGAAAAGAGTGAAAAGTCCTGAAGTAGATGATAATACTGTTGTACTTGCAACACTAGTCCGTGCAAGGGCAGCATTTGATAGATACTGAAAGCAACCAGAACAAAAGTTAATAAACTCAATTTTCAGTTCCCTGAGGTTGTCATAGAACAAAATTAAAGTCATAGTTAACCATGGATGACTAAAGGAACAAAGAAATTGATGGCAGACAATAGGTATGTCATGCAAGTACTGCCATAGACCGATTTATAGAATCAATATGACAGCGTGTAATGTAGCAAATAACTGAGGTTTGAGTCTGAGAAAGACACTGAAAGAATCTCTGCTTGCCAATATAATCAATAGTCAATACAAATCAATTGCACCAAGAACTCAGACCTACCACACCCCCCCCCCCAAAAAAAAAAAAAAGATGCACTAAGAACAAGCGCTTCTTAAATTTGTATAGCATCCAAATTATTCGGCTACCACAATTATCTATCCAGTGGTCCAACCATTTCCCGCAGAATTTAATCGAGTTACTTCATAGAACATAAAATATGCAAATTGTGATGAGGTGTTACAGACTAGATTTATTGCATAATACATGACGAAAATCTTATTCATAGTGTGTTAAAAATATCAGATATATAATGATGCATGTCTGTGTGTGTTGTCACAAGTATGGGTCAAAGTATATCTGGTGATTTGATCTACGAGGACCCCAGTTAACGACTTGTCAAAGAATGAGGGAAAACCAAAAAATTCTAAAGACTGAGTGTCTAATCATGTAAGAATTCAGTTATAGTTCAGTTATTGTGGTAGAGAAGACTTATTTATGGGCGTGAGAAATATAATCCTGATGTATTCTTAATAGTCAATTCACGGCTGGTTTTAACGGTCAGGATATTCAAATAAGTCAAAACTGACAGATATACACTTTTAAAATATGACAAAAAAATATTTTACATATATATATATGTGTGTGTGTATGAGAGTAAAGTCTATTGCATACATTAGGATATCATTTGAAGTAACTCACCTCTGTCAAAAACCAGATAGGGGCAATGACAAATCCATAACTAGCAATTTCCCAAGAAGTAAGTTCCTTCTCTGCCTTTAGCACGTGCTTGTCACTGTGTCTAGCTATTAACGGCTTTCCTTCTGCAAGAGCTGAAAGGTCTAATTCACTATCTTTTAATATTTCCAGTTCAAACTGTTTCTGCACTCCATTGCCTTTGAGAGGAGAAACAATCCCAGAAGAAGGCTCATCCTTGCTTTCCACATTCTTACCAGTTTTAGAAGAGTGGCGTTTAAGGAGATTACACAACCAGTCCTTAATGAATGCAAGCGGGAGGTAAACTACCATGAGAGAAGCTCCAAGATATGTCACTGCAAATGGCTGCTTGTAATCTGTGAAAATATCCTGTCAATAATGTTCAGAATAGCGTTATCGAATGCCAAAATACCTTACACTGTTAAGAATTATACATTTTTAATGGGAATGTATATGTAGACATAAAGCTTAGAAGCTATCACAATGCATGGTGATGCCTACCACAAAAGATTCCCCCGAACCAAATTTCAATATATTAGAGCACTTTTATGATAGACATCATGGGTGGACCAGAGTTCTGAGGAAGCAAACTAAAAGGCGGAGGTGGAAGCAACTAAAAGGCAGAGGTGAAATGCGATGTTTCTAGGGAACCCGATAACTTGCAACCATGAAATTTCAAGCATAATGTCTTCTGGTTCTAGGATAACATAACGCACGAGATTTAACAGGAGGTGTGTCTATCACCCCCTTACAGTACCCAAGAGACACGTTAGTAATACACATACAGCTTTCAATTGTTAAATCAACAGAATTTCGATCTATTACAGAGAGTCTTAATTCTTGGTAAGCTCTAACGTCAAGTCACACAGAGCCAAAAGATCAGCTTGCATCCATCTCTCAAGCACACAGACCCCTACATGAATTGCATGATTATTGATAGGCTGTGCAACGTTATGGCCTAAAGATATTAACCCTCGAATCATTTAATCCTATTTAATAGTTATCAAAGAAGCTCGAGTATTTAGATTACAAAAAAAAAAAAAAAAAGGAATCCAAGAAAAAGAAAGCAGTTTTCAACAGAACAAGCACGCGAATAGAAACATATACAAGAGCACATTCACAGAATAAATCCCACAGAAACTCCAAAAGAAACTTATGAAGAGTTTCATTCAGCACGAAAAAATGGTAAAAGGTCACCTGAGTGACTTCAGCCGAGGTGACCCAAATCAGAACAACGGCGGCTATAAGGAACAAACCAGCCTTGTATCTCCAACCCATCATTGACCAAACTATGCCCAGCAGAAGAAACCTCAGGAATTGCAAAGATCTGCAAGGCTCTGCGAGATCCCTGAAACTCCCTTCAAGACGTCACTTCAGCGACATGAGTGGTTGAGATCTTCGTTAGCAAAAGCTCAAATCTAGCGTGCTTGCTAATTCTAGCCAGAGGAGAAAGAAGAAGAAAACAAATAATAAAAATCAACCTCCTTTTTGCGGCAAATCCGAGGCAATGCAGCGAATGGAAGGAATAGAAGATGGGAAGGAGGATTCTCACAAAAGAAAAAGGTCAGAGTAATGCGGATGAAAGAGAAAGAGAGGGAAGTGTTAAAATTAAGTTTCGGTTGTCAAATTGTCATTACTTGTAGCTTCAACATCTCCCCCATGTTGCTACCACTCCAGAATACGAGTTATTTATTTATGTCCTCAAAATTCCAAATTTACCAAATAAATGGTACTATTAATGCATCCATCAACGCCATTATTACATTATGTTCTCTCTTAATTGTCCCTTCTCTTCTGTGTCTCAGTCTGTCTTTCATCCACCCGTATCCTATAATAAATTCGTATTTACTACTGAAAATAGATAGACATGTGCGTGTAGATATCTGCATTTGCTTTTTGTGGTTCCTCCAAAGACACAGCTTATCATGGGAATTATGATATCACACTGGGGAATAAATTATGGAAGGGCAACCCAAAAGATGAAGTGGAATTTTCGGGGCATAATTGAGTTAGTTGATAGGTCATTGAGGCAAAGACAAATCAAACATTAAAAATATGGGGAACAACAGAACAACTAAATAGGGATATCGTAAAATAAATATTTGTCTGGTCAGAGAGACCCACTAGCGCGGAGCATCGTGTTGTTTAATTAAAGACAGTGAACTTGTGCCTTGTGACGGAGAAAGGCGGCATCTTTTTCTTTAGCTTAATTTCTGGAGAGAATATTCTGAGGTAACGCAACCTAATGACTACGCGCTATCGAAGCAAAATGATCCTTTTTGATCGTTTTAAAAATTTTGTCTAGATGAGATATGCCTTGTTTGCTTGTAAGATGAAAAACCCGTTGATATGGTCTTCAATCCATTCGAAGTGCCTTGAGGAATAAATGTAGGACAGATATTTGAATGCTCAATTTTTGAAACAAATTAACCTGTGTATTGTAATTACATTTATTAATCTGATTCACCCCTCCAAGTCAACGTAGACAGGCTTATTGTATTTTTGTATTTCCACGAAATAGGGCGGTGGGTCAACATATTGTCATTGTTGATATTTTGTTGGGAAGATAGCGCTAATTTAGCATATTTTTTAACCTGAGCTCTCAATTCTTTAAATGTTAGGCTATGGTTAGGAAAAATCCTTGTAGAAATTGACTGAAAGATGACAATAGCGGGAAATGTTAAGAAGGAGCTCAAATCCAATATTATTGTGAGGACTTGCTAGAGGTGAACGGTCATAATTAGAATTTCTTGACGAGAAATAGAAAATTCGTCTTGCATCCCACGTGCAGGGTATCAGATTCCTCTGAATCTAAAGCATGTAAAGAATCGTATATTAGGGTCGGGATGGAAAAATTTTGGCAGAGAATTGTATATTGAAGTCTAATTCACTTTAACCTTGCGATCAAATGCGAGGGTCTGATTAATTGATTTGTTATTTTGACATGGAAAAAATTATGGATAAAAGGTTATTGATGAGCCTGAACAAATGTATAAAAAACTCACAAACATTTCAAAACTATAATTATAATTTTCGATAATTAGCTGTGGGCTACTTAACCGGCATTAATAAAAAAGAAAAAGAAAAAGAAAAAGAACAACTTCAAAAACATATTTGATTCCCTTCACATGTTTGTCGCTTGATAAATAGTACTCCTCCGGTCCTTAATATAGGACCCAATTCTTAAGTTGGTTTTGGTCCTAAATATAAGACTCATTTCTTATATTTATCAATTTTCTCTAAATTACCCTTATGGATACTCCCTCAGCCATAATCAAGTAGAAGAAGGAGAGGAGGTATTAAGAAAGATGATTATGATGTTTTAGAAAAAATATGTCACTTTTCTTATAATTAACTAACTTACCTAACTTCATTAATCTAATCAAATTAGTTAAATAGGTCTTATATTAAGGACCGGAGGAGTAACATCTTCTACAAAGATGTTTTTTTATGTAAATTTTTGTTGCTCTATTTTGTTCATACAGGCAATCCATGACAGAGTTTAATGTATATACTTTTTAAATATTTGAATGAATGAATGAGAATAGCCACAAACTCTAAAATTGAAGGCGCGAGACAGTGTGGACAGGGGTCTGTGCCGGCAATTTTACCCAGTTTTAGGAAGGGAGTGACGCTTCATTAAAATTCACAATAGGCGTCATTTTTCGTAAGAACCGCATCCTCAGGGTGCTCAGGGTCTAGAGAGATATTCTATGTTTATTTTCTGTTTGGGTGAGAAGAAAAGTTAGAGGAAAAAAAATGAGAAGAAAAAAATAGAAAGAAGAGAAAATATTATTATCCATCTTATTTGGATGAAAAAGAGAATATGGAGAGAAAAAAAAGTGAGCAAATATATAAATGACTAAATTACTGTTATCTCAATATATATTATGTTTGGAACCAAATTAAATATCACAATAAAAAAATTATATGAACATTAATATAATCAAATAATTTAAAATAAAATTAATTAATAAAAATATATTATCATATTATTATATTTAAAAATAAAAAATGTTATTTGTAATGGAAAAATAAAATGTGGATAATTTTTTAATTAAATATAATAAAAGAAAATAAATAAAATATATATTATTTAAAATTATTACTAGATAATAAAAAATTATTATTAAGTTGAAAGAGGTGGAGAAACACATGTGTATGTGTGTATAGTTAGTATGAATTCTGAGTATTGCATTGAATGTGAAAAAATAGAGTTTATATATTGGTTCAGAATTTGGCTGTAGTAAGATAATTGTGCTAAATTATAAAGTAGCCATAAATAAAATTAAAAAATTGCATTAAAAGCAAAATATGCATTTATTTACTTAATATAAGAAGGGTATACAAGGAATGTCGGTTTTCTTCTCATTTTCTCTCCATATGTGGAGAGAAAAGTTGGAAAGAAAATAACATGGGCCTCGTACCTTATTTTTTTCTCCTACTTTCCTTTCCTCATCCAAACAAGAAACAACTTTTTTTTTTAATTTATTTTCCTCTCTAGTTTTCTTTCCTCCCTCATTTGCTTTTCATCCAAACAAGGGGTTAGGAATCCTAAGTAAACGTTTGGAAGTCTGCTATAGATTCATCCTGCCTGACATAACATAACCTAAGAAGAATTAGATTAAATGCCCTGTCTTTAATTTGGGTTTAGTGATAAGAACTGCACCCTCACTAATAGGGGAGGAGGTTTGATTTCCTATCATGGTGCTTTGAGAGATATCCTGCATTTATGGTGCCTAAATAAACGCTTAAGGGTCTATTGTAAATTCATCCTACCTAACATGATATGACTTAAAAAGAGTTAGATCAAGTGACATATCTTTAGTTTGGTTGAACCGAAACCCTCCTAAAATTCTATTATAAAAAACCTTCATGATAGGAAGTCAACTCCACAAAAAAAACCACCACTAACATATAGTATAACTAAGCACTCAGCTCCTGGTCCTATAACGAGGCTAGTGGGAAGTGGCTGGCCCATCTCAGCCTCCATTTATGTTTTGTGTCGTTAACCCACTTAAATCAGCAACAAACCCATATGCAGAGAAATGATTACAACAACAACTAATTAAAAAGAGATTTCTTAAAATAGAACACCACTGGAGAACGGAAATATTTTCCTTTTGTGAAATATTCAATATCAAAACCAACGGAACACACATCTCTTACAAAGGTGAAGAGAAGAGATCTTCAATTAAAATTCATATTAAATCCTCCAAATGCATATAAACATCCATCTTCAAATTAGTATGAGCATTTATCTCCTGAAATTTAATGAAACTCAATGCATATAAAATCCTCCACTCTCGATGTCCAATTGTAAACATAGCTAGTTTACACCTTTAGCCAAATTTACGATTTTTTTTTTGGTAAACAAAAGTGGCGTAACATGACAAAACGTATTTGAAGTTCAGATTCTCTAACTTTTTCTGCTTTTTCATACATGATTTTAGAAGCATCGTATTCGACTTAAACTCATATTAAAAAAATTAATAAGATCGTAACATAATAAACAATTATATAGCTTGACAAAACCGAAAATTAAAATCAACATAGCTTCTTTAAAAAATAAAGAACTGAACATGTTCAATAATATTGGAATAAAAAACAATGTCGAACTTTAGCCATGTATATATTCATGGTGAGCTCCAGAGTTTCGAAGTTTTGATGATTTACTAATCACAACAGCCAAATAGCCGTAACAAATGTCGGTTGCTGAGTCAAGAATCCTCAAAAGTCAAAACAGGGACAGAGGTGAGAAAAATGAAATAACAACCATAAGCGTAACTTTATTTTGTGAAATATCAGAAGTCTATGATTGATCCCGCTTCTTATGCTGTGGTTTCCACTTGAAATGCAGCGAGATCTTTCCAGATGAAGAACCATTTAAGGCAAAAGTGTCCTGAAGTTCGCCTTTCAAGATGATCCTAGTGAATGTCAAGATCACTCTCCCAATTTTCTCCTGCAAGATCCATACATTTCACTTATCTCTTATATGTGATACTGATTTTCATAAATTTGCAGCATAAAATGAAGATGGCAAACTGATCATTATATTATTCCGAGGAACGCAAGAGGTGGAGATCCAATTAGAAGAACCTTAAAAGAAACAACATTAGGATGGCAGCGTCAAGAGAAATCACCTTCCCAAAAGTATCATGATCCCAGACTTCAACAATTAGCAAGTCATGTAACGCATCCTCCACAACAAAGTCAAACGTTTGATTCCACACTGGGTTTAGACATTCGTTTACAACCTGAAAGTACCACCGTTAATGTACTGTGACCAATAACTACAGAGAAACTATATCATCTTAATTTATAAACGAAATCAATATCAATGTGACACATTCTCCGCTCGATTCAAAATGAAAAAAACATTTTAATCACCCTTGTGATAACCAATTTACATTAATTCAAAAATTACTTCAAAATTATCAGTTCAACAATTTACTTATTCTTATTTCGTTGTTGAATGAGCTGAGTATTACCCTGGTTTTGTGTTTTCTGTCTGATTTTTTCAACGAAAGGACTACGAAAGGGTCAGCCTTCCCCATGAGGTCCACTACGGGTAAGTCTTCAGCTGATATAACTGTCACAGAAAGCACCCCTCTAACAATGACATTTTTCTTCGGTGCAGCATCGTCATCAACCTTATCCTTAAGGGTCTTCTCATAAGTGGTTAACGAGTAATCTGGGTTTAAAGTGTTGCTAAAGTAGTTGTCCAGGCCAATTGGGATGTACAAGAGCTCCAAATGCACCTATGAAGGGCAGGTATAATGTAAGAGGATTAGAAACTCAAGAATATGTTATATGAAATATTAATGTACAACTCGCACATTTACACATCACAAATACAATATTTTATATCTGTTAATCAGCTCAATGTCCAGACGAATACATTATGAAGACGCTAGTGAGATGTAATTCTTACCTCACCCCTGTATTTGTTATCTCTTTGGACCCCCAATTCCTTGACCAGCTTTAACCATATTTCCTTGACTTTACCAGGTTCAAGTTCCCGTAACTGCACTTGGGCTGCGCCTAAGAACTCCGCATTTTGAAGGCCATCATCATCAAAAATTCGTACCGTGAAGCTCTGTGAATTAGGATCTTCAACAATAAACTCGAAGTGCTCGTTCCAAACTGGATTCAAGTCATTATTCTGAAGATATCCAACCACTGGTTTATGAGCAACCAAAATTAATTAATCAATCAATCAACGAAGCTTCCACAGGGGAAGGTTGACTTACGATTGTTTTACTTTGTTTGGTTCTGTCACGAAGTGGACGTATAAATAATTTTGCAAAAGGATCGGATTTGCCTATCAGTTCTTTATTTGTTAGCCCCTTCGCTTGCACCAGTCTTACTTCTAGTGTTCCTTGCGCTTTCAGCTCCAGGTGACTGACAAGATAGAAATAAGTCATAATCACCAAAATGTAAAAATAACAAAAACCTTTTCCATGTTGAGCTCAAAGCAAAATCGATCAAATTATCCACAGGAATATGCAGGGTACTTTTGATGAATTTACAAAACAAATATATAAAAATAAAGATGAAATGAAAACTTAAAAACAACCCTGTACAACGTTTTTTTTTGCCTCTGTTAAATAATATGCAATTTATGTGACATTTCCTACTTCAATAAAATTTACTTTGAATAAAGAGATTCTAGTTTTAGTCATGTTAGAATCTTATATCATAAAAAATATGTTGAGTCATGTCAACTTTATGTCATGTAAAATGTGCCGAGTCATGATGCATGTTTAGAAGTTGGTAAAGTCATTATTTCTGCGTAATTGCCAAAAGAATGGTATGTCATGTTCCCACAAAATTCCACCATATCGTGGAAAATTATATAGCATCTCACCATAGTTCTCACGGGAAGGACAAAGATTATATTGGCATACTGTGACATCCTTAGTATTAATTAAATACTAAAATCCCTCTTCCTCTCCCTCTCCCTCCTTCTCTCAAAGGCTCACTCTTTCTTCTCTTGTTGGTATTTATCTTTTTGACTCCAACGCAGAATTGAAGAAATTTGAACATCTATTCATAAAGGTTTTCTCATTACCCTTTCATGTCGTTTTTCAAGCGATAGACCCCACAATTTCTTGAACTAGCGTAGTATGCTCACTTTGAAGGCATTCCTTTGAATCTTGGCGGGAGAGCAATCATGATTACAAGATATGTCCTACTTAGGAAAGAAGGTAACTTACTCTAAACTGCTGCCAATATTTTTATGCATAATTTCCCTCTTCTTATAAACAAGTTTTTACATACCTATAATCTCCTGGTATAATTGGTACAATATTGCGCACTGGCCAAGTTATAGAATCTTCGATAGCATCCTTAATTGTCTCCTGAATAGTCAAATGATAGAAAATGTTGTCATACATTCAAGAGTATTGTATGAGTTAAAGGGTCATTGGCAGTGCAATGCAAGATTAAACTGCCTAACTTTCATAAATGATTAAGGATTGAACGGCAGCTGTATATATTCGTATCTTTGGATCTTGTTACTTTTAGTTGGCAACTAGGTTCTATCAAGAGATTATTTTTAGAAGTCGTGATACATTAAAATTTAGTTCCGCTTGCAGCATAAACATTTAAGGAGTCACACTTCATAATACATAGATGCATTTATATAATGAAACATTAAGGTAGCTTTAAGAACCAACTGACCGAATATCTGGAAAAAAATGAAGACAAAGTAAAAAGGAGTAACATCTTGATTGAAAATTAGATCAACGAGTAAGTTTTTCAATCATTCAAGTGATCAAACCATTAAATTATATTGTTAAAATAGATGAAAAGTCACAACGCTGCCTTGTTATTGAAAGACAGACTTTAAAGATGTATTTGGCTTATACCTCTATAGCATCAGCTACCCCTGGGATACTTGAAATATCACCACCAATAACCTTGAGAGTGAAATCCAGATCTTTCTGCAGATGGCAAACAAAGAAACCGATTTAAACTTTTAATCAGTTGCATTAATTTTCAATTTCTCACATTTTAATTCACTTTCCCATTGTTTTATATTCTCATTTCCTCCCGAAGGCATTAAGTCACAACGTAGTATGGCTCACCTTTTGAAACAAGGAATAACAAACAGCTCCAAATGCAGGAAACTCGTCTACTAGCGGGCTGAAGATCAACCTGAAAACTCCAGTGAATGCAAGATCTTTTACCTATACGAACAAGTTGCCAGGAAAGAGCAAGCGAAGAATAAGGAATGCCTTACAAGAAATGATGACCGATGCAAAGTCTCTAATGATCTCACAAGCAGACTGAATTTCACGGTCAAACACATCAATGTCAATCAATGAAAATTATGTATTTTTTTTTTCTGATAAAAATTACAGTGTGAAGATGCCTAGAGATAGGGATGAGCAAACAGAGACGAAAATGAATGTGTGTGTGTATGCGTTGTTTATATTAACATTTCTCTCCAAATAGAGACACAAATTTGTCTATATGGGCTAAGCAAAATGAATGTTAAATAGGTATGGTGGACCATTATGGGTGAATTATGCCTGTTAGGCCATTGATGGAAAGTCCTTTACATGTGTTATCCGTTGGTATTTCCCTTCTCCATTTATAGGATACATGTAGCTTGCCCAATTTACCAGCTTTATCTCGTGAGCAATTGATTGAGAAGGATTCATCTGAATGTCTGAGACAAGCATTCAGTCATACAGACTCTGATGACCAACGCATGCATGTTTCCTATCTAATCATGTTAGTTGTTGCTTTGGACCAACATTTATATATATATTTTTCCCACTACATCATTGAATACCCGCACCCCTCATTACTACACCACGCCTAGTAGATACATTTGAAGTACGAGATGAATAAGATATATACATCTGATTAATAACTATACAAATTTATATAATCCACTGTAGTTGTAAGTTGATAATTTTCAAAAGATAAGATTTGGTTAAAATATTTTCCCTATCTCTAGATCATCGTTAATTCGTTATTGTCTTGGGATTGGTCTTCATGCTCTACAGCAAAAGGACAATAAATGAAACCTTTACACAAAATAATGAGCATGCCAAAAACATGCAGTTGGAAAAATATACTAATTACCTGCACTGGTAGTGCAACCCCTATATGAGTGTTAATGTCAAGTACGATATTTGGATTGCCATCCCATTTCATCTCTAACTCCATGGTCACTTTATCACGCCCGCTTTCTTCTTCAAGAATAGCAATTCCTGCATATTTCCAGTAATTTACATCATCATCAGCAGAAAATTTCCGGAAACGAGTACATCAGACCAACTTCTTTACATGTTCTCTCTGTTTAGCTTGGTCATGAGCGTCATGGGACCTATTCTATTACATACAAGAACAAGTTCAATGATGTCGGGGACAAAACTAACCTGTAAATTGCGGAGCAACAGTTCCAAGGGTCAATTTAGAGAACGTGAGTGAATCTAAGATAGCTGGCGTATGTTGTTCAAGAATGGGTTCCACGTTGGATCTTATCAACTCCGATGCTGCCTACGCCATATCACCGCAAATAGTTTGATAACGATATTTTCCGGTCACAAGAATTCAATATCCGACAACCCAAGGGATCGAATGAGATTCCTTATGATGAAAACTTAAAAATGGAAGTACCTCATCAACAAAGGGCCACATCTTCGCAAGTTGGGTGTTAAGCCAATCTAACTGCATTTGATGAAGAATAAATATCAGAGCCCAGGTTACTGGCCAAAAGATTATCGGAGACCATCCAGATAAAAATGTAAGGCGCAATGAATGAGATTATATAGACAATAAGATGAATGTAACTTCTGCCGCTGTGTGAAAACCACCCATGGTGGATAGAACTGAGGAGGCAGAATTTTTCTGGAATCCTCCACTGTCATTCTTGCAAAAGCAGCGACCGTCTTCGCCTGAAAGCGTTCAAAAGGGGGGGAAAAACCAAAAAAAGGAGTCAGAAGTTATCCCTGAAGCCAAAATAATAACAACAATAATAATAATGACGATGATGGTTCAAAATCATGAAAACAAGGTATCAGGAAAATACCAACTCAGAGCGACGCTTTGATCGGCTAGCTTCATAACGTGCAAAAGCGACGATAATTCCGACGCCAAATAAGATACCAAAGAAAATGCCGCTGAAGAAGCCCATTTTAAAAATGTTGCAGAGACGCTAGCAAATGCGGAAACCACAAATCCTATTTCTGCGTCGATAGATGCTGTACTTCTTTAGCTCAAATATGGTATAGTGGGTGATGGAGAAGAGAGTTCACATCTACTTGTCAGGCATTTTGCTCGAACAGAGGGACGACGCGGGGAAGGGAGGGAGAGGTCTGCAAAGTTCCTTTTTGTTTTTGGCCCCTAGGAGGGTCGCCAAGTTAGTTATGCCGCGCGAGTGTTTTGGCGGGACATTCTGAAATAATTGCTTTAATGTTGCCCCTCTCCTTCCGGTGTGGCACTGAATTTTTTTTTAAAAAAATCTTTTAATTGTCTCCTCACTGTGTTTCTTTGTGTTCTATAATGTAAAAAAATTTCTTTTCAAGTGACAAATCATATACTCTTCTGGTCTTTAATATAAGACCCAATTCTAGAATTGGTTTTGCTTCTAAATATAAAACTCATTTCTCATATTTATTAATTTTTTTCTAAATTACCCTTATAGATACTTCATCAATCATAATCAAGTAGAAGAGAAAAAGATGATATTAAGAAAAATGATTATGGTGTTTTATGAAAAATGTGTCATTTTTCTTATAATTAACTAACTTAACTTCTTTAACCTAATCAAATTAATTAAATGAGTCTTATATTAAAAATCGGAGGAATATATCAAATGGTTGACATCTGCACTGACACAAAAGAACAAAGACAAACAAATACTTCATGGCCAATAATAAGAGGTGAGCAAGTGCTCATATGCCATTCTCTAGAGAATTTTTTTTCAAACTTATGCACATTTTAGAAAAACTATAGTATTAATAATAATTAACTATAAATGATGCGACTCAACCATATTTATGGCAAAATAAATAAATAAACTAGGAACCATGTGAAAATAATACTGTTGGACTGGTTGTTTATGGTAACGGCATAAAATCGAAAGGCCAACACTATAAACGGAGTAGGAACTCAGTCAAAGCAGTAAAATAGGAGCGATCCACGAGAAATCTAAAAACACGAGTCACGGTCCCCGAAACCTTTCCAGAGAAGTCGCAGAGCTTGGAACGTGGACGTTCTCGTAGATCATCATCCCCGCCTGATCGATCCACTTTCACTTCTTCAGCACCACTCGTCATTATTCTCATGCATCTATGTTCTATGCACTTGTGAAACTACAACAGCTCGGCACGCACATTTTTGTATTTGTCGTCTGCTTGTTGCTCAAGTGTATCGGTTCTGTTCTACGTGAATATTTCTGTTCTGGAGCCTAATGGCAGGAAACGATTGGATAAATAGCTACTTGGAGGCGATTCTTGATGTTGGGCCTGGGATCGACCGTGATAAAGTAAAATCATCTCTGCTGCTCCGAGAAAGAGGTCGCTTCAACCCCACCCGCTTCTTCGTCGAAGAGGTCATCACTGGATTCGATGAGACCGATCTCCATCGTTCGTGGATTCGAGTACGTTCACTTTACCAGTCCCCTCTATCCATTGATCTAGCCAAATATATGCATGCTCCTATATGTATGTCTTGCTCTCTTTTTTATTATTATTTTTTGAATTTTGTTAAGGCTGCGTCGATGGGTGGGACTGAGGAGAGGAACACCAGAATGGAGAACATGAGCTGGAGGATTTGGAATTTGGCGCGCAAGAAGAAGCAGGTGCTCTGCCTTTTTTTTTCTTCACATTCACTCAAATGTCTGCCATGATCTTCACTGGCTACCTGAGGCCATCCAGTATCATATGTCAAATTCAACATCAGAATGGAGCCTCACACATTGTCTCTATTTGCTTGTCAAATGAACGCCATGAAACCAGAATGTTGTTACAGTTTAAACATTCCTGATCACAATTCGTTCACCATAGACTGATGAGGTTGTCATCTATTCCTCTGATTTCTTTACCAGGTCGAAGCAGATGAGGCCCGGTATCGTGCTAGGCGTCGTCTTGAACGGGAAAAAGCACACAGAGAAGCAGCTGCTGACATGTCAGAAGACCTATCGGAAGGAGAGAAAGGGGATGCTTTAGGTGAACTTCCAGCTCGTGCTGATAGCATTAGAGGAAGATTGCCTAGGGTCAATTCTATTGATGCGATGGAGAACTGGGTTAGACAGCACAAGGAGAAGAAACTCTACATCGTTTTAATCAGGCACGTACGTAAACTCTTGTAGTAGCTCCTCAAAGGATTGTATAACGGTCTATAGTGAGTGAAATCACTAGCTTATTCATAACCGCAAACAATATATTCATATTGATGTTCCATTCCATAGCTTATTGTATATTTCACATCAACAGTTGTATTTATTGATATCTAACGAGCGGGATTCAAATATTCGTCATACAGCCTTCATGGCTTGATACGAGGGGAAAACATGGAATTAGGTCGTGATTCTGACACTGGAGGTCAGGTAAATGTTGGATTTGGGGGTTGTTTCTTTGCAGCTGGCTTCCTCCTTTTCTAATATATTAATTGCCAACTAATTTTGAACTTTCTCACATTCAGGTGAAGTACGTCGTAGAACTTGCGAGGGCATTAGGAATGATGCCAGGTGTTTATAGGGTAGACTTACTAACAAGACAAGTATCAGCTCCTGATGTAGACCGTAGCTATCGTGAGCCAATAGAAATGCTGAATCCAAGAGGTTCAGACAACTCACATCAGGAGCGTGGGGGATGTAGCGGGGCATATATAGTCCGTATACCATTTGGCCCAAAAGATAAGTATATACCAAAAGAACGCCTTTGGCCGTATATACCTGAGTTCGTTGACGATGCAATGAAGCACATTATCCAAATGTCTAAAGTTCTGAGTGAACATGTTGGTGTTGGTGAACCAGTCTGGCCAGCTGCTATTCATGGACATTACGCTGATGCGGGTGACTCTGCAGCTCTTTTATCTGGATCTTTAAATGTTCCTATGATCTTCACTGGCCATTCACTGGGACGAGATAAGCTTGACCAACTTCTAAAACAAGGAAGGCACTCAAGAGAAGAAATTAATGCTACCTACAAAATAATGCGGCGAATAGAAGCAGAGGATTTAACCCTCGATGTTTCTGAAATTGTCATAACCAGCACAAGACAGGAGATTGAGGAGCAATGGCGTCTTTATGATGGCTTCGATCCCGTCCTAGAAAGCAAATTGAGAGCGAGGATGAAAAGGGGTGTAAGCTGTCATGGCAGGTTTATGCCTCGTATGGTTGTAAGTATCAAGATGAACCTTCTCTTTTATCAATCTTTACGATTGGATATATTTTCTTAACTAAAGTTCGACATGTTCTAAAATAAACTATCATATATGCCAAGGTGATTCCACCCGGAATGGAACTCAATCATATCGTTCCACCCGATTTGGATGAAGGAGAAAAGAACGAAGATAAATCTGCTCATGACTCACCAATTTGGTCTGAGGTCAAAGCTACTCCTTTACTTTGGATTGGTGATAACATGTAGCTACTCTTTTTAACGATTGAAAAAGAAAATCTGTTCTCTATATAATAGATTTATATTTTTTCTGTTGTCATTACCACCGATTGATTTACCAGATCATGCGTTTCTTCTCCAATCCTCGCAAGCCTATGATACTCGCACTTGCCCGGCCAGACCCCAAAAAAAATCTGACTACTCTCGTCAAAGCATTTGGAGAATGTCGCCCTCTCAGGGAGTTAGCAAACCTTGTACGCTCAATTCTGAGCTACCACTGCTTATTTTGTCCAATGTTTTTTATTCATAGTTGTTTCTTTTTAATCCTATACTGCTCTGCTGTTTCAGACACTGATAATGGGAAATCGAGATGACATTGAAGAAATGTCTACAACAAATGCTTCTGTGCTCTTTTCAATCCTTAGGTTAATAGACAAATATGATCTATATGGTCAAGTGGCATACCCTAAACACCACAAGCAGTCTGAGGTTCCTGATATCTATCGTCTTGCTGCAAGATCCAAGGTTTTAGACTGTTCATCAAATAGAGCTTAGATATAAATCAATGCGTATCCTGTAGTTACTGATGTTCAGTCAATAATGGTTTCTCAAGGTGCTAATAAATCCGCTTAGATGTCATCAGTAGCTGGTTACAAATGCACTAGTTAACTGTTACTAGTACATTGTAAATTGTTATCAACATATTGCTTAGTGTTACCAATTACAGGGTAATCTAATGCTACATGATTCAACTAAAATCCTCTGACAAGTTGCTGCATAACTTGACAGCGCCTGATATTTCACATGATATATTCACTCTACTCTTGGAAATATTTGTAGGGTGTTTTCATTAATCCAGCTTTTATTGAGCCATTTGGGCTTACTTTGATTGAGGTACTTCTCTTAACCCTCATTGCAGTTTCTGTTTGTTTTTAAGAAATGAACCAGTAGAAAAATTCTAATTCAAGGTTCTTGTTCCCAGGCGGCAGCTCATGGTTTGCCTATTGTTGCAACAAAAAACGGTGGCCCTGTTGATATCCATCGGGTTTGTCAATCTGATGCGACCTTTATAGAATTTAGAAAATACAAATTCCCTCAAAAATCGAATACACTGCAGCTTCATAATAACTTGTTGATGAATAGCGACTGATTTGTTTGATTATTCCAGGTTCTCGACAATGGTCTTCTAATTGACCCTCATGATCAACAAGCCATTGCTGATGCTCTTTTTAAGCTTGTCTCTGATAAACAACTTTGGGCAAAGTGCCGGCAGAATGGGCTAAAAAATATTCACCTTTTCTCTTGGCCAGAGCACTGTAAGACTTACTTAGCTCGAATAGCTACTTTGAGACCAAAACAGCCGAAATGGCAGCAAAGTGATGCTGAAGATGAAGGTTCAGAATCAGATTCACCTCGTGATTCCTCGCAAGATGTGAATGATCTATCACTGGACCTAAAGATTTCACTGGACGGTGGAAAAACTGAAGAAAGTGTAAACCTTGATAATGCTTTAGATATCCCCAAACAAAATACTGTCAGTGGAAAGAGCAAGAGAGAGCATGCTGCGTTGACATCGTTAAAGAACGTCGTTGACAGCACACGAAAAGTAGGGACAATGAATAAAGAAGACATTAATGCACTTAGCAAGTCTCTGTCACTGAGAAGGAGGAAATACGTTTTTCTAATTGCTTGTGATGACATACCAGAAATTCTTGGAATTCTCAATAAAATTATGAAGGCAGTGCTGAAGGACAGGAATGCTGGCATGATTGGATTCATATTGTCAACTTCCTTGACAATAACGGAGATAAACTCTCTTATAGCATCAGGAAATTTTAAGCCATCAGATTTTGATGTTTTAATATGTAACAGTGGTGGTGAACTCTATTATCCATCTGCAACCTCAGAGAAGAGTTCTACTGGACTTCCTTTTGTTGTAGATTCACATTATCAATCTCACACAGATTATCGATGGGGTGGAGAGGATCTAAGAAAGACATTGGTTCGTTGGGTTTCTTCAATCAATGATAAGAGGAAAGAAGAACTTGTAATCTCTGAAGACGAAGCAGGATCAACTGCACATTGCTATGCGTTTAAAGTGAAAGACCCAACATTGGTAACGTTCCTTACTCTATGGTGGCATGTTTGGTTTGTCACATGATAAAGTACCAGTGCTTAAGCATATCTATCCTTGTTAAGTTTTTGTTAACGGCCTGACAAGTTTGGTTACTATTCTACAATGACAGCTTCCTCCAGTTAGGGAACTTCGGAAGCTATTGAGGATCCAAGCTCTTCGTTGCAATGTTATATATTGTCAAAATGGGACAAGGTTGAACGTCATTCCTGTCTTAGCTTCCAGGTGCCAAGCACTCAGGTATATAGATGTGAAATCAGTCAATCAATCTTGCTTTTCTCTTTTATCCAGTTTATTCATGTTATTTTTCCTAATGGCTACCTAAGTTGATGAATTGAGGGTCAAACTATGTATAAAGGATAATTCGGTTCGCGCTTCACCATTCCCTATTAGTGAAGATTTCAGCCAATGTTTTATAAACAGCTCACTGAGAACCCTCTACTGTTAGATCTCCTGTGCGTACTATTTAAAATTAGAGATTGCCTTGAAGCCGATGACATCTTTGTGAAATACATCACTTTAGAACACTATGATATTTGATGTGGATCTCTAGACTAAAGCTTAGTGACTTGTCTTCATTAATCTTTCTGTTTCCAGCGGTGATTGCTGTTTGAAAATTAAATGACAGTTCCAGCTGAAAATTGCAGATGATTATCAAAATTTTTTAGGTAAATAATACAGAAACTAAAGAGGCATATGGGTAAATGAGGATGTTGACATGTAAAGTGACGCACAAAATTGTCTTGTTATCTTCTGTCCTAACTTGAAAACAAGAGTTATTATCGGATGAAGTGGACAACCAATAATGATACTGAACAAGCTAACAATACGTTCATACTCATGTTAATATGTTAAAGCATCTTGTTCTTTACAAATGAGACAGGGAGCCTATGATCATAAATTTGATTAAACACGATACCAAACTTTACCTAGCCTGTTTATTAAGCATGTTATCAGCATTATACACACACACACCCACGTGCGTGCGTCTCTATCTTGGATTACCAATTTATTCATGACTCGTAGTGTTCTTTTTTCTGATAATGGCGGTCATCATCCTCTGAAGGTACCTCTATGTCCGTTGGGGAATGGATTTGTCTAATGCCGTGGTATTTGTCGGAGAATGTGGAGACACCGACTATGAAGGATTGGTTGGAGGGATCCACAAAACTGTGATTCTAAAGGGTTATGGTAACGGTGCGCGTAAGCTTCATGATGGCAGAAGTTATCCACTCGAAGATGTTCTACCTCAGGAAAGTGCCAGTGTCGTGCAGGCTGAAATAAAGGATATCGATGACATACGTGCGTCACTGAAGAAACTGGGGATCATTTGCCAATAGGCCAGATGTTTCATCTGCCGCCTACTTGAGCAACTTCTCATGTAATAATCAGCGTTGAAATATGCCTTCACGTGTGCAGATGGCTTGCCAGAAACTCGAAGAGAACATGAATATCACAGGAAAAAACTCACAATCAACTGAACTGAGCTTCTTTCTCAATTATGATACGAGTAAATCATACATAAATACAAATAGCCAAGCCTCTGAAGAGAGTGGCTGCTTTATGGGCTACTAGCCATGGGCCTCTCTGGCCCAAAATACATTTCGTTGTAAGAAGCTCGTACTCAATAGTAGTTAGCTTCCAAGCCAAGTATCTTTGGCAGAAAGCGCCGTCATTCATTGAGCCATAGGGTTTGCTGATGGTGTTTCATTATCATCCCATCCCATTTGCTTTCTCCTTTAATAATGATTCTGCAGTTGGAGGAATTTCTTTGTTCCTCAGTGCTCTTCTCTCGCTTTCTTTTTTCGATGTTTGGATTACCGTTATGGTGCGGACTTTTAACATCGAGGATAGGCAATGGATATCCAGTGGTTTGCTACAAGACTAGAATAAGCGGGCTGCAAAAGACCACACTTTATGTTAACCTGGGCCCGCCTCAGGTGGGTTGGCGCCAACCTCCCCTTTTTTTTTTTTAATATTTTAAAATATTTTATTCAAATTTTAAAATTAAATTATAAATTTTTGTAGACTAAATTCAATTTGTTTTAATATTTTTATGAAGCTATATAATTAAACTAACCCAAAAAATTGCAAATATAAACTTACAGTTTATTTTATATAATTATTTTCTTTGCCATCGTCATTTTACATAATTATTAACATATAATCACGTTGCAAAAATGTGCTTTTTTCAAATTCCAGTGATTCCGATTTGAGAGGCGCGCCTCAATCACTTTTGCTTTAAGATAAATAAATAAATAAGGGAAGTGTATGCAATTTTAACGAAAATATTGTGTTTCATGCATTTCATGAAAACGTTATGCAATGTTTAATATGTATTAAAGTATTTTCAAAAAGATAGAGAAATGCACTTAATTATATCATTTCTATATAAAAGTAGTTTTTACATACCAAACATTACTGTCTTAATTTTTTGTTGCTGACAAAAGCATCCTCTCACCCGAACAGTAAGAAAGTAATTTTCTGGAGATAATGTCAGGCATTGTAATGTGGACCTTTCCTAACAATATTTTTTTTATTCATACACACCACTCCAAAAATTGAACTTATGACATAATATTTAAGGTATCCAAATCTCTTTCACTTGGTCTAACACTTATTGGTAACATTATTGTCTTAATGTTGGAAAGCAAGTCCCTACCTTTTATATTAAATAGAATTCAAGTCCCAATTTCCATTTCGACTTCCACCCTACCATGCTGCCAATTTTGCGGAGTAAGGATGATAAGGCACCCCAATGATTGGCAAATCCTAAGGATGGTGGGAAACCAGAGCTTTTTCCCTCAGAAGACTTGAAGCATACGTATGAACCCAACCTTACATTTCTTTTGATCGAATTAACAGTGCAATCAAAAAAAAAAAATTTTTGGGGGGGGGGGGGGAGGGAAGGCCTGAAGCTTCTCATATTGAACTAACAATATACTACGTAATGATGAGTATGGTCCTGATATCTATCGCGCGCAAATGTGGCTGCAAAATCTGATGCTGTTTAGTTAAAATTGTCTATCAAACAGTGGTTATAACGTGAAGGTACTCCTCTACTCCTTAATACTACCTCTGGTCCTAATTATAAGAGCCCGTTGACTAATTTCAGGAGATTAATGAAATAAGTTAAGTTAGTTATTTTTTTTAAATAGGTGTTGTCTTTCCTAAAATATCCTTGCTAATCAAGTGTATTGACTAGAACTATCATTGTTAAAAGGGCTACTTTGGAAAAAAATGTATAAATATGAGAGAAAAAGTAGATTGGGGATATTTAGGACCAAAATAAAAGTCAAACAGGATCTTATATTAAGGACCGGAGGTAGTATAAAACATAATCTGAGAGTTAGGAACCAATTAGTGATTGCCTCCACTTTGGTATGATGGACAAGTTTTTTTCCCATTCTTTTATTCCATTATTCACCTCAGTGCCGATTAATGAATGACTTGTCCTCCATTACAAATTAATTCAAGCATGTATTTCAGAGGGACCGGCTATTTGTTTTTTTAAAGTTTTGTAATTAAGTTCAACTTGCAAATGATACAACTTGTAAATATGAAAATTTAACTTGTAAACATGCATTATTAAATTTGCCTTGTAAATATTATTTTTTTAAATCTTTTCCGTATTTAAGTTTTTTTACGTGAAACCCCGGTGCATTCATACATGTAATGTAGTATATCCGTGGATTTAAAAATTTGAGGCGTATTAGTTTGAATATGAAAAAAATAACGGCTAATAAGTAATTATATCTATAATGGTTTACAACTTTGATTATCTTGTTCCTTTTCTTTTATAAAGAATATCAACGGCTCAAAAAAAAAAAAAGTGAGTTTTACCTCACCCTTGTCTTGCCATGTTTTTTACATATAGCATACATAATATACTCTCTAATACGTTTAGGTTTTAACCCAAAAAAAAAAAAAAACTAAATTTTTGTTGTATAAGGATTTAAAGTTAATTAGCGTTTGGACAATTTGACCAGATCTGTTATTTCGCTAAGTATTTAAATTTAGCCGTGAAAATAAACAAAAAGAAGAAAAGGAAAAAAATTCAATTTGATATGGATATTTAATTTAATATGATGTTTTATACGTTAATCCTACGCATGTTAATCCCTTTTCTGGAGAAAAAGGAAATCTATAGATCCTCCCATTCATGCTGTCTGAGTAAAACATCATAACATGGAGCACTGTTCATGTCAATCAAAGATAATAAAAACCTATAAACAGCAATTGGATTGAGTAAGATATTAAATTTAACTCTTGTGTATGGAAATAGTATAATTATATTATATTGGGATAGTTAATTTCTCAATAATTGATGTTCAAACTTCGCTTGAATTCAAATTAGTCAATAATAGTAAATATCACATGGTTAGTTTGAGGGGGAAAAAACAAATTAAAAATGATTTACTCTTAAGGTGGTTTTCTTTGGCTTGACATATTTAACAGAGCTTCGACGCGCAATAAAATTAAGAACATAAAAAAACACAGATAGAAACAGTATTTGTGTCTTCACTTGAAATAATAAATATTTTTTTAAAAAATATGGTAGTAAATTAATATTTTACCACCAGTACAAAAGCCACTAATAATTTCGCTCGCTATGGAAACCAAAGGGAAAAATAGTCGAAATAAGGGGAAAAAATTTGATGATTTTGTTTTGGCAGGAATTTTTTCTGGAAAATTATTTAGAAGACTATTAATGGTTTTCCCCCAAGATTTTTTTTTTGGACTGCCCACCTGGAAATTAAAACTTCTTTTTCCTTTTTTTTTTTTGACCGAACAAAAGACGTGTACGTGTTTTTTGAAAAACTAAATTTTAAAATGACTTCGAAGAATAACACTTATCAAGAGGCCTTCGCGTTCAAGTTTGGATGTCATGACTTTTTGGCGGGAGGGGAAGTTAGCGCTCTTGTTAGACAAGCATGAATGATGCAAATCTGATCACGTTTCTGGTTCACCTGCAGGGACAGGATTGTCATTTAAAATGACATCCAGAAGGTTAAATACGTCATTGCGTGTCACACTAGTTCACACTTTCCATTCCGAGCTCATAATAGAGTTTGAGTGTGGCTGAAGCTCCTAAAAATAGAGTGTGCCGGAAACACACAGTTAATTAGCTCCATGCCGCCCTTCATCATTACACTTCCCATGCTTTATATTTCTGCACATTCATCACTCCTCATTTTCCCCCACACAACAAACACTGCGAACTTCTTCAGAAAGAAACACAATGAAAATTTCTTATAGACTCCTTTTCTTGGCGATTTACTGGCTGCTTGCCATATCCATCATCGTCGTTAAGCTTCTTCCGGCCCAGTTCTTTAATCTAATCTCGTTCGACGGCTTGTATCGAAGTAAAGTGCAAATTGGTCAAGTTCAATTCTCGGTTTCCAGTGAAAAAGTACTCCAAGCTGTTGTTCTCGACGGACATGGAGATGATCTTCACCGGAGCAAATATAGTTTCCCAATAGTAGCCGTATGTTTCACTCACGTTCTCCGCTGGAGTGTTTACTTACGCATTGATTGATGCTCTCTCTCTGATTTTTATTCTCCTTTTCATTTTGCTTTGATTTAGTTTTCAATCTTCTTAGTAGGTAAGTTTAATTTATTTATGACTTGTCTATCAGTTACGGTGGAATTTGTTGCTCTTTATATTGTCTGAATCTCCGTCTCTGATTATAATTGACGGAATGTATGTAACAGAATACGAAAAAAGTCCTAAGCAGAGAACAAAAACTCGAAAGAGCACTCGCCGGAGCAAGAGCCTCGATTCGCAGGGCATTAGCTGATAGGAGAAGCAATCTCTCTTCGGTGTCCACGGACAACGGCGGTGACGATTACATTTCCTCCGGAGACATATATCGCAACCCGCGCTTATTTCATCAGTAAGCCGTCCGCACCATTTTTTTTTTTTTCCCTTCACATTTTATCCCTTTTGTTTTAGCTTTTTTTAATTATTTATTTAATTAAAAATTAAAATATAGAACTTGTACTATTCGAGAGAAATAGCTAGTAGCGCTCATTTTTCAAATCTAAACATATCAAAAATAACTATCAAGGACACATTCACTTATCAAGGACTCTGCACTTACTTTTTCAGGCACAGTCACATAACTATCATTAGAAGAAGAAATTGATTAAATAGTCGAGGGCTTGTATTCACTGCTTTGTTAATAAGTCACCGCCACTGAAATTTTCATCTAACGATGTCTTACTTTTGATTTTTTTTTTCTTGGATAAATTTTAATTTGTCTCTTATGATGGCGTAATTCCTTTTCTTCTACAAGACGTTAGGAGCTGCGTAGTGCGCTAGCATTCATTCGTTCGAGAGTTCGAAGTTCAAATAGAGCTTCTGTTAAAAGCCGCTTTATGCTATATGGAGTATTCATTAAAACTTGTACCGAAAAATCGAAAATACTTATTAAAACAATTGGATGGTGTGACTAGCATATATAGTTGTGGTCACTTCACACTTGTTCAGCCACATGATTCCTATCACGAGAACCATGATAAGTACTTGATACGTAACTGAAATCTTGATCTTGTCATTATAATTTGCCTTCAATTAAGATCAGCCACCCTTTCCCCCTCAAATGTTATTACTTTCAATATATTAATCGACACCTTTAATGAATGCAAATCTGATGCTGTACCTCGGAGTAATATTAAATAGTCTATAATCAAAGCCAAAAGAAAATCCCTCAGCACGTTTTTTTGGCTTGAACAATCCCTCAAGATGTTACATACTCCCTAGTATATATGTAAAAGTTAAATAATTAATTGAACAAAGTGATCAGCAATTCAATAAATTAAAATAAAGTAATAGCTCCGTGTGTGTGTGTGTGTATGTTGATTCATTACATATTAACGAGTTATTCCAGGAGCTATTTGGAGATGGAGAAAAGATTCAAGGTGTACGTTTACCAAGAAGGGGAACCTCCATTTGTTCACTACGGTCCGTGTAAAGACATATACTCAATTGAAGGAAGGTTCCTCCATGAGATGGAACAAGGAGTTGGAACGTTCAGGACCAATGATCCCGATGCCGCTCACGTGTATTTCCTGCCATTTAGTGTGACCTGGATGGTCAAGTACCTCTATACCCCTCCCACGAAAGACCTCGATCCTTTAAGGCGGTTTGTATCCGATTATGTGAGAGTGGTGTCTACTAGGCACCCTCACTGGAATAGAACTCATGGTGCTGACCACTTCATGCTCGCCTGTCATGATTGGGTTAGTTTTGTTCCTTTTACATATACAAACCTATATTTAATTTATTTTTCAACTCAGGAGTCGACATAGATTTATTTCAGTTTTTTTTTTTGCCCACATATATAAATTAAGTATATTGCTGAATTGTTGATGGTAATATATTATGGGGAGGGCCAATATATTTACTTCTCTCCTTTAGCTTTTTGTTAATTTTCCGTATAATTCTGCAGGGTCCTCATGCATCAGAGGGCGATCCTTTCCTCTACAACAACTCCATCAGGGTCTTGTGCAATGCTAACACTAGCGAAGGCTTCAACCCTCAAAAAGATGTAAGCCTGCCAGAAATCCATCTTTACGGCGGCGAAGTATCACCTAAACTCCTTGCACCCCCACCGGACAATGCTACGCGTCCCCATCTAGCCTTTTTTGCCGGCGGACTGCACGGTCCAATCCGTCCCATCCTTCTCCATCACTGGAGGAACCGTGCCAAGGATCTTCAAGTCTACGAATACCTTCCCAAAGGCCTAGATTACTATTCCTTCATGCTCAGCTCCAAGTTTTGTCTTTGTCCAAGTGGGTATGAAGTAGCTAGCCCTAGAATCGTGGAGGCAATCTATGCCGAATGTGTGCCGGTTATCCTATCGCAGTATTATGTGTTGCCGTTTAGCGATGTACTGAGATGGGAGTCATTTTCAGTGCTGATGGAAGTTTCAGATATTCCAAGGTTGAAGGAGATACTCAGTGCAATCCCAGAGCACAAATACAGGAAGCTCAAGCAGGGAGTAAGGGCTGTTAGGAAGCATTTTACTTTGAATCACCCTGCTAGAAGACATGACGTCTTTCATATGATCCTGCATTCAATATGGCTAAGGAGATTAAATGTGGGGCTCGCATAGACTTTTCCACGCACGCTTACCCATCAAGTTTGCTGTAAGCTAGTACGTAATTTAGTTTTCTGGCCTCGATCGGTCTCAGACAGGCACCCACTAATTCCCGTGTAGAAGAGAATATAAGTTTTGTGCTTGTGAAGTTGTCGACCAATTCTCATAACTGAATATTTGGATTAGTATAACCTATAGAGCTAGTACGTATACGTACTTACCCATTTCTTTTGAAGCATCCTCTAAATCTTCAATTCCAGTGCAATATATGTGTCCGCGCGCACTGGAAATATTATAGAGTATTGAGAGATGTCTGATCTAAGAATTTAAATTTTATCATAAAAAATATTCGATTAGATTCTTCAATTCACATAAATTAAGCACCCTAATGATCAATAAAAAAGTGTTCTGCAAGAGAGGTTATCTTTTATTAAAAAAATAAATGCTAATGAAAAGCAAACTACTATATGATCATTAATTGTATAAAAAAGTTTATTAATAAATTGTGAACTATCAATAACAAGTGTTAAACAGTGAATGACAAAAATTGTATTGGCAATGATAAGTTATTTATTAATCAGTTGTGAACTGACAATATAAGTATTGAACAATTAATGACAAGAAACATACTGATAATGACAAATTTGATAGCTTTTTTTGTTAAAAAATCTTATATAAGAGCATTTTAGTCATTTGACTATATTTATAAAATACCACATCAGACACCACTTGCTCTTTTTGAATTCTTAGGTACCTGAATTGAAATATTGTAATTTTCAACTTCTTTTTATGTCATTTTTATTTTTATGAAGAATTAATATTACACCAAAAGCACACCGCATATTGTTCGGTGTGGGTTAAAAAAAATCACCTTCGATCCTAAATATAAAAACTAGGTGATTAATTTGGGTAGATTAAGAAAATAAGTTAAGTTAGTTATTTGTAATAAATGGATGTTCTTTCCTAAGATATCCTCATTAATCAAGTTTATTGGCTAAAACTACCATTACTAGAAAGACTATTTTGGGAAAAAATACATAAATATGAGAAACAAGATAGATTTGGGTCCTTATATTTAGAATCAAAATAAAAGTCCAACTAGGTGTTATATTAACAACCGAAGGTAGTATATAGAGAGAGAGGGAGGGAGTGGAATTACCAGCTGACTTGTGCGCTTATTTGTGCTAAGCTACCCGGGTTCAGAATATGGCGGTCAGAAAACAAAGAAAAACAGAGAATTAAGAATTATATGCATATAATTATATCTATATATTATACATACAATATGTACATCGAATTTGTCAAACCTGAATCAATCACAATTTATCTACACTTTCCTTTCCATGCTAACCCATGGAAATTGCATAACCTAATCAGGTATGTATGCCTGATTAAAAAGTTTACAGAATTTGACCATAAGAAGGAAACTTTGGCTTAGGGCGATAGATCACAGCAACTAATTACTTAACGTGCCCTTTTTTTAAAGTCCAATATATGTTTGATCGTGCTTTCGAGCATAAGAGTGAGCACTCGCCCACAAATTGGATAAATATACACGTTTTGATGATGTAATGGGACAATTTTAGGGTTTCTGACAAAGTGACGTTTTGATGCCAGAGACAGAAATTAAGGTATAGAAACTGGCTACTATTATTTACAGAGGAATACAAGGCAGAGAGGGTTTTGATGGAGGAATCGAAGCAAAGAAGATGGGAAAGATCTTAGCTGCTGGCTAGTGATGAGTTGATAAGATGAACAAGGCATGAGAGAGACGTTCAATGTGAGATCTGAGCTTATGTCCAAAGGAGAGAGGGGTGTCGTCGTCACTATTGGAAGCAGCATGACGAATATTATTGTTTATGTGAAGCACCGTAGGACCCATCTCCCTCCTCACAGACTGAACAAAATAGTCAATATCAACCTCATAATTTCCAGATACGTCTCTCACATAGAAAGCATTCACAGACTTCTCTCCATGCGTCTCTACGTCTGCTCGAACCACAGCTAACCCGTTCTCTCTCAGCATCCTCGTTATGTCCGATAGCATCCCAACTCTGTTCTCTGCACACAACTCCACCCGAACTCCCTAATTTTCACGTCCACCAACACACAAATGAATGAAGTTAATTAGTTTAGTCTTCAACCAAACTGAGAATAACGGTGGCTGATCAGCAATTCTCTAACCTCACAAACACGGCGTTCTATTGCTGCCTCTAAGCATTTGGCCACTCTTTCCTTCTCGCTTTCTGTACTCAAAGCATACCCATCTATATGCCGAATGAAATACTCCTGTATTATATTTGAGAGTACGTATAGAATCATATATGAACATGCATGCATCAGACGCAAATGTGTGTTTATATATATATATATATATATATGAGAGTTGTTTTCATATACCTGAAAGGCATAGCCTTTGTGGGAACTGATAGAAGCATGGAAGATGACGTACTGCATGTCGGTGAGAGTGCAGACAGTGTCGAACATGAGCCTGGGTCGATCCTTGCACTCTATGCTCACTATCGAATATCCTTTTTGCTTGCAGCTTTCAATTCTCACCATTCTTTTTCTTCTCACCTCTTCCCCATCACTCGGCATTGCTGCCGTCGTTGTCGTCGTCAGACCTAACGGCGTTTCGAAATCCCTAACGGAAAGCATGAGTTGGTGCAACCTCCGTTCCACGGTGGTCATGGTGCCTTGTCCGCCACGGAATTCCGCCGTCTTCACCTCTTGCTGGTTGGCGCACGAGCTATTAGGGTTGGTGGTGGCGCGAAGGACAGTGGCGAGGCGATCTTCGATGTAAGCGAGGCGCCGAGGGTCTTCGATCGGGGAATGTGTGGATTGATCGGAGATGTAGGCGACGCAGGCTAATCTGGCGTTGTGGGTCCAAGCATGAGCCTCGTCGATGTTGCAATGGAGGTCGGCCAGGGCGGCAGAGATCTCCGAAAATAGACCGGGGTGGTCGGCACCGGTCATTTCGATGGCGGTGTGCTCGTTTGGATGAAAGTAATTAGGGAAAACCTTACTGGAATAGGCCTTTATCGAATGTGGAGATCCCCTTGATCTTCCTATGGCCTGTTTGATCCATATATACTTTCACTTCACACAAATACATATACATATAGCATGCCAAAAAAAATTACATATTGTCAAATACATGCATCATACGGACTTTTTATGACTCTTATTCTGAACTATATATAGGACTGAAGAGCGAGCTTAAGGGAATTGCAGTACCTGCTGGATATCATTAATGAGTGTCTGGTCCGTTAGTTTGTTGCCATGTTCATCTCTAACATGAAACACTGCAAATTTTTCCATGAACTGCAAATTAGAATTTAGAAGTGGAGACATTATTCATGAAACTCTATTAACAAGGGATAATTAAGAAAGTAGTTTACCATCCATGAACCAGTCAGCATCAGATGAAATATAGCTCTTGCAGATTTGAAGGTTCATATCCGTTAAAACTTGCACCACTTCTAGGAGGAGACCCTGCTTGTTTACGCTATCCACCTACACACATCATTAACCATTGTTTAATCAAATGCCGAACCAGGGACTCAATAAAATATCATTTACTGCTGCATTTTCCACTATGATCTTCTCCTTACCTTTACTACGGTACAATCCTCTATGTTTTCATTGTCGATGGTGACTCTACAACTGCAAGGTACAGGCAGAGAAACAAATGTACGTCTGATTTAATTATCTGTTTTTGGAGCTAGGACAGAAGATTGAAATTTGAAGGGTTGAAAAAGAGGAAACACTTACGTGGGACCATTTATCCTTTCTAGGAGAGTATCAAACTCAGGATCAAAGTAAGGCCAACAAACTTTCTTCATGCTGCAATTCAATTAGATACGAAACAGCATGCATGTGTTAAACAGTCGCTCTCTTCTTCTAATGCAGACAGAGATTATATGGAGTACTTTAAATTTCTAGTTTGGTGGCTGGACGCATTTTGCGGAGAAGAAAAGAATATAAGAGGAATATATAGATTGATCTACGGGTTTATGAAAGTCATGAAAAAGATGTTATCTCATAATCTTTCTGATTCTGATGCAATATATATGAGCAAGAAGTCATCAATATATAAATATACTTCATTGTTTAGAGAGATTCTCAGCCATGTCAAAATGTACAAGCTCTTTTTTCCGCCATAAAATTGCAAATACGCTTGTTTCTCCCTCGGCTTCAATTCTGTTCCAGATGCAGCATAATGCATTAGATTAACAGGGGTATGCCATTGCGTTAAAAATATGTAGAGAAAGCATTAGGCTATTGCTATAATAAATAAACTAGGTTTTCGATAAACGAAGAAGATGGTAAGGATGGTGACGAAAGGATGAAAGGATCAATGAACTGCGTGGATTTCGAAAGGAATGTGAACATTACAAAGAAGAAAGAGAAGAAGTTAATGCATGAGGATGTGATAAATTGAAGACTCAAAAACTGGGAATGAGCTTACGTGAGGGGGTGGGGCTTGAGAAGCCCAGCTTATAATAACCAATCCAGCAATGCCAAAAAAGAAAAATGTGGATCGAGCTGGATGAGATGAGAGAGAAGAATCAAAATGTGAGTTCTCTCTCTCTCGAAACAGAAAGGTCGTGTACCAAGAACAACGCCAACCATTGCAGTCTGTCATGTATATTAATAACAAAGGAGGGAGAAATAGAAGATGATGATCACCATGATTAGGTTAAATCAAGTGACCCAAATATGTGGAAGAGAATGGATCGAAGAAAATTTGAGACCAAGTTGGGAACGGCAAGAAACGGACACGTATGCAAAGTCAAATGAGACATGCATCATCATTATATTCCACCACCACGTTTTGTAGTTAATTCCTTCTTCTTCCCACAATTTCTCCATGTATATCCATCTCTACTGTTAATATGTCCAAAGTATCAGGCTGATGCACGTTAATTTTATATAAATTTTACTAACTATTAATTAGTTAGAACAAAATAAGTTATTAATTTTTATTTCTGGTATAAAACTAAACGACAAAATCTATTTAAGATGTAAATTTCATTCTCTTTTTGCCGGCTTATTAATTTCATTCTGTAGTGTCCAATTAATTTGAATAATGAATAGTACTACTTCCGGTCCTTAACGTAAGAGTTAGTGAATTAATTTGAATAGATTAAAAAAATTAATTAAATTAGTTATTTGTAATAAATAGTATTATTTTTTTTCTAAAATATCTTTGTTAATCAAGTATATTATCTAAAACTACTATTATTCTAAGTACTATTTTGAAAAAAATGGATAAAGATGAGAGACAAAGTAAATTAGAATCTTATATTTAGGATCAAAATAAAATTTAAACAAGTTCTTATATTAAAGACAGAAGATATTGCATAAATTACGAGACTTCTTGTGTTATAGTTTCTTCTTAGTGTGAACGTACCGTTGAGCACTTCGAATCCAAATCACGTTGGTCTTTCTGATTTCTTTCCCTTACATGGGAAGCCTTTTCTTTTGCTTTGGGAAAGTGTTGATAACAGATGAGAATGGAGGCTTCTTCCAGCAGTGGGATAATTTTTCTGGAAAGATACCGCCTATCAGTAGCAGGTTATTACAACTTTCAAACACGCTATATTATTTATGGTCAATGGGGCCAAAAGAAAACACGCAAATATTATTTCAAGAAACGTGTTGATCCCATGATTTTGTCATGATATGTAATTATCCAAAATGTCCGGTGAATTAGTATTAAATCATAGGCATTAAGTTTGCAATCCTAGCTCGCACAGTGAGTCTAGAAAAAGGGTTAACAATTCGGCTAGATTCATCCACAAAATTGTTGACAGGTCGGCAGAAATTATTACAATAGAGGGTAATTTACGTTAGTCTGAACCAGATCATAAAAAGGTTACTTTGCAAATCTTTTTAATTCCACCTAATTTTTACTCAGGTGTCATTAATTGTTTGTAACATACCCTAATTTCATCTATTTTTAATCATGCCCCAAACTAAAAATTAGATAAAATTATAAAAATCTGATAAAAAACCTTAATAACTTGCAAATTAATTCTTCTTCTGGTATTCCAAATCTGATGGAAGCAAGATTTTCTTTTCTACTCTTCTCAATGAAAATAAGATTTTCCTTCTTGGGGAAGAATCCCAGCCAAGATTTGAGTCCTCAATTGAGGATCCCCACCACTTGAGGAAAAAAAACTAGAGAGCAGCGATTGACCTGAGGCTCAAAAAAAGGGCCGAAAAAACAAAACCCTATAATTCTTTCTCTGTTTTTTTTTTTCTCTCTCTGAAAAAAAGTAAGATGCTGACGGATATGGCATTTGCAACTGTTAGTTCAATTGGACTCCGCTCACATTTCTATCTTTTGTTTTTCCCTTTACACAGCATCCTGGCTCCAACAGATCTACCAGCCGATATGCCAAAGAAATAACCGGTCAAAGTGAACGACATCCCTTGAGATTGAGATGTCATATCCTCAGAAGAAGCCTATATGACCCAATAATTTCAAGTGTGGTTAAACCACGGTCCCACTGCGCCATTCGCATGCCCATTGCTGTGGCTGCCTCCCCCATTGGGAATGAGTGAAGGTGGGAGTCCTACAGCCAGTGGGAGAGGTGCAGAAGGATATAATCCATGGCCATGTGGGAGACCATGGGGACTCATAAGAGAACTGCCAGCAGGGCTCCCCTTGCGATGTTGAAGGGCATGGATCTGCCTCAACCCTTCTTCATGAATCCGTGATAGCGTTTCTAGCTCTTTCATCGACAGTGCCTCCAGACCAGCGCCATATA